AGCTCTCCCTCTCGGGCCCAGGGCGAGGGGCGGGGCCCCAGACGTCCAAGTGGAGAGTCTGGAAAGGTGCAGTGGCCGGACGAAGGGAGGAGGAGTGAGGAGTTACGCGCAGCCGACCCTCGACGCAAGGAGTGCACAACGGCGCAGGCGAAGGAGGGAGCGACGCAAAGACGCGCGGGAGACCTGAGACAAGACGCTGGCTAGCCATGCTGCGGAGGCGTGGGAGAGACGGGTGACCAAGACGGTGGTGCCACAAGACTGTCAGGTGAGAGAGTGACCGACAAGAGCAAGACGCAGCAACCAGACCGGACACAGCCACCTGGCCAGACACCGCAACCTGAGGGGACACAACAACCTGAGGGGACGCAGCTACCTGGGAGCGCTCAGTGTGCAGAATGTAGAGACCGGAGCAAGACTCTTTGGTAAACGTGGCAAGAACGACACCGGTGGCAGCGTCCGTGCAGACTGCAGTCCTCCCGCCTCCCAGAAAGGTAACTGTGATCCCCCTATCCTAGAGGTATCCAACACCCACCAAGTTCCGAGTGAACGAGGGGATATGGAGACCTCTAAGGACACCAGAGGGGACAACCGGGCATGGGAGGGTGGTAGAGCTACGTGCAACCGCTGGTCCTGAAGTAGGATCAGCTAGTGCAACCGGAACCGGAGCAAGAAGCGGTGTGAGAGTCGTGTGGCCGCGGAAGAAGCACTGCGATGCGCCAGAGTCCAGCGTGAAGGACAGCGACGCCTCAGCCGTAGGTGCACCTGGGCTGGTAGCTACACAAGCACCTAGTGCGGAAACACAAGCACCTAGACTAGAGAGACAAAGATCTACACTAGCAACAGGTAAAGAACCTAAACTACGAACACGCGAGCAAATAGATCCAGCAACACTATAATCAACATCAGCATACATCACAGAAACAGAGTCTAAAGCATCAACTAACTCTGCCGCAGACAAGTCCCACAAAGCAAGTCCACGAGAGCGAGCAAGCGGGGACCAGTCCGGAGCAGGGCCAAGGCCGAACTGTGCGCGGACGCGGTCAGTAAGCTGCGCAAAGCACTGACCCGAAGCGTGGAAACGGCCACAGCGAGAACCCGCACGACCGCCTGACTGAACCACGTACGGGCAGGGAGGCGGAGTTACACCACGCAACGCCGAGCTGGGCGGACCACCGCCACGACCAGCGCTCCCTAGTCCACCGGGTCCCCACTGCTGAGGCTGCTGCTGCACCTGCCGCTGAACCTGCTGCTGCGGCTGTCCCTGCTGCTACGGCTGTCCTGACTGTGGGTGCTGCTGCTGGGACTGCTGCCGCCGCTGTGCCGTGTACCACGTAACCGCACCAGCACCCCCTCCCGTCAGGCCGGCAGGCGCAGGGCCGCTCCCAGTGTTGCCTCCACCAGACGCACTAGTGTCACCAGAGCCTCCGGCACCTCCGCCACCACCACCAGCACCACCACCCTTCCCCCCTCTCTTACCTCCCTTACCCCTGGACCGTCCACCCGCGGTGGAAACGGCCGCAGTCTCCAAAAGAGAAGGAGACGCAGTAGAGGCAAGAGAAGCAGTGAAGGTGGAAAGATGTGGGACAGTGCACCCCTGAAAGAGCGGGGGAACTACAGCGCCAGATGCGGAGGCAACGGAGCGGATATTGCTCTCGATGTCCTTGAGAGCGGTCTCAAGGACATCGATGGTGAGCTCACTACAGTGCTTCCGAAGAAGCTCGTCACGGACAGGTGCAAGGCGGTCAGGGAGGCTAGTGGCGATAAAGTGAATAGTGATCGCCATGGGCGGGGGGAGCAGTGCAAGCTGAGCCTCAGTACAAGCAGCACGCTAGCTGACGTCTAGCTAGCTCAGGTGGGTGATAAGATCAGCAGCGCAGTCAAACGAGCATAAGTCAGGAAAGAGAAACGGCAGAAAGAGGCGACCAAGAGAGGCGCAGGTGGGAGTGGAGTAACGTGTCTTAATGGCAGTGACCAGGTCCTTGGCAAATCGAACCTGAGAGAAGTGAGCCTCCTCAGTCTCGGGGAGAAGGCTGGAGAGGGCAATGCATGCCGCAGCGTCACGCGACTGCCACACTGAACGAGCGGTACGGGCTTTATCGAAGCGCGCCTGGGCCGCCTCGTCAGGCTCAGCACCAAGGTCAGGAGGGGACGGAGGCTCAGGCAGGTCACCGGAAGCGTGCGCCCAGAGCGTATCATTGTCCTGGCGCTGGCTCTTGAGAAACCGCTCGGCACAGATGAGCCAGGAGGGGAACTCTAGGGCTCTACCCTCAGCATCAAAGCGCAGTACACGAGGGGCCGCCATAACGAGGGAACTACCGGCCTAGAAGCACAGAGCTAGAAGGGGCCGGAGCTAGAAACAAGTGAGGCGTACGGTGCCCGAAGAGACAAGGCGAGGAACAGCCTGAGCTAGGAGCGACCTAAGCCAGAGTGGCGAGGCTAGGACGAGCCGAAACGAGTAACGAGCGAGGCCTAAGTGCTAATTGAGATTCGAGCGAGGCGAGGGACAAATGAAGTCAGAGGGTCGAGCCTAGGTCACGCTAGTAGAGGGTACTGCGGCCGCCAGCCGCTGTGAGTGGAAAGCCAGTGGCAGTAGGCGGTAGGAAGGTGCTGCACGTGCAGAAAGGTGTGGGTGGGTGCGTTTGAGTGCGGTGGGGAGCGGTCAGGTACGCTTCAAAGCGGTGGAGTGCGGTCGAGAGCGGTTAGGAGCGGTGAGGAGCGGTTAGAGGCGGGTATGAGCGGTTAGGAGCGGTGAGGAGCGGTGAGGAGCGGGTAGAGGCGGATAGGAGTGGTGAGGAGCTGGTAGGGGCGGATAGTAGTGGTTAGAAACGGATTCTGGAGCACGGGCTGCAGCTGCTGCGCTCGCTGCAGATGCGGAGGCAGGTGCTGCGCTTGCTGCCGCTGCACGCGCGTGGTTGCGGCTGCTGCAGGGCGTGCGTGCGAGTGGCTACAGAGGAGTGTGCAGCTGCTGCTGAAGCCGTGCGTGCAATGGCTGTTCCGTGCGCGGGAGGCTGCTGCTCGCACGCGTGCAGTGACGTGCGTGCTCGCGGCTACTGCAGCGCGTGCGGCTGCTGCAACGCGTGCGGCTGCTGCAACGCGTGCGGCTGCTGCTGCGCATGTTGACGCTGCTGTGCGCGTGTTGACGCTGCTGTGCGCGGGTGGCGAGCGTGCGTGCGGACGGCAGCTGCAGTGCGTGGCTGCTATTCGTACTGCTGGCGCACGTGCACCCGCGTGCGCGTGCGCTGCTGCGTATGGGTGGCTGCGCGCGCGTGCGACTGTGCGAGCTAGTGGGGGCGCGCGGGTTGCGCGCGAGGGTAAGGGGCAGGGTGGGGCGCGGACGGGTAAGGAGCGTGACGACGGGGCAGGCTAGGGGCGGGGCCTGCGAACGGACAGGGCGCGGCCTGCTAAGGGGACGCGGCACGACGTGCTAAGGGGCGGGGCGATTCGGGGCTAGGCTAGGAACTGACCTACGTACTAGTGATACCATCTTAAGAACCTACTTGCTTGAGCAACGAGAGAATGGTGATACTAGGTCAAAGGGAGGGATACAACAAAGTGTCGAGAAAGTTTTGTACCCCCTAACATCCAACTCACTATAGCATATCTAAATCTACAAACATAGTTTGACAAAAAACCTGATAGCAAAGTCATGCAAATTCAGTCAAGCAAGCAGTGCTATTGCATGGGGCAAATGGAAATGTGTTTGGTGCTATCATGGATTCAGTGGTGAGAACAAAGGGCTTATGGTAGGGTCCGTGCTCGAAATCAACTTCAATAAACAGTGCTCGATACCCCACCTGAGCACAAGAGTACAATGGAGAGAACAGAGTAAATGTGGGAAACTTGCATTTAGGTGAAACAAGGCTATGACTATGGTAAAAGTTTGGTCAAGGCATATAAGGGACATTCGATAAAACAAGCAGAGGAAGTGGGCGCTGGACTGTGAAGGCATATATGATGCTAAAGGGCAGGATATAGCATCATCTGGTGGGAATTTAGAAGAACCAGGTTGTTTGAAATTACATCACAGCTATAAAAGCCACCGAAAGTATGATCATGTAGCTGAAGCAGAGCATCACTTGCTTCCTTGCCATGTCACACCTTACTTGGAAGCGATTCCCCATAAGGGCGTCTTACATTTTCTTTGTTAGGCAATTGTCCAGACGATGGTCCCTGTACGGTACTAATAGCGCATACGGACGGAGCGGGGCATATGTCCGGACCGTGCCTTGTCCAGACGGTGATTGTGGAACGTTCTGTATCTAAATAATGTACACTTGTAACATGATCAACATGACTTCGCAACTTTCGCGAGGCCCACAACGCATCTCGAAAATGAAATTGCAGGTACAGCGAGGTTCGGTGGTGGGGGGTTGTCAGGGGCTTCGATGGGTTCCTAGTTCAAAACGAGAAGTAGAGTCCACCCTGTGCTAGTACAATTTTCCATTCGTTTCGTTTGAGCATTTCTAGTGCTCTTTCGTCGTTCGTTCGATGTATTCGAGTCGCGCAACTCTGCCCAATGTTATCAACTTGTGCAATTGGCTATGCTCAATGGATTTCCGAGCCGCTGTTATTGTAACTGGGTAAATCGATTTAGTACCTGTTTTTCGCCCGTCAATTATATCACTGCTCGTTATTGAGCGCAAAAAAAATGGACAGTCCAGCAAACGAACGGACACTGTCCGTGCGTTATTGAGCGCAAAAAAAAATGAAAATGATTCATCAACGGTACGGACGTGTGCGACATTGCATGCTCACTGACGAACAGATTGCCATACCTATATGGTGTACGGAACATCTTTACGAGTTTGAGCGACAAGATTAACCAGCCGTTCGTCCGGATGGCGGACAGTACGGACCATGGAAAATGAAAAATGTAACATGCCCTGAGACAACTACCACATCTCCACACTTCATTGAACTTTTAGCACTCCGTAAAAAGAAAATACACTTCATAACACTTATTCCTTTCACCACACGCAATCACACTTCATCACACTAACCTTGGGAATGTCTCTGATGGAGGAATTGAAGTACCAGAGCTTATCGGGTTGCAGCGCGGGCGGCGATACAGTGTGCAGGAGGAACGGGATGGGCTGCACACAGAGCGTGCCGAACTTGGCAGTGTAGCTGCCCGGCGCACTCTTGAATGGCACCGTGCTGGCGAGGAGCAGGGCAGGAGGGGTGGAGATGAATGGAGAGGTAAGGGTAGAGGAGAGGAGAGAACAATTTGCTCACTCACGTGGCAATGAACACACACGAGCAGATTTGTTACCAGGTGCAACACCCCATGCGCATGGACCCACCTGCCGGAATAACGCCACAGGAGTCTCGAAAAGGCATGAATAACAAACGCGAGTCATCTTCCTTGCACTCACCACCTTCCTTGCACTCACCACCTGGTGAGCCCCTGCTTGACCATGAATACGAAACAGAAGATTTGAAGGCCTAATGAAACTCATCCAACATTCTCACACATCCATCCACCGTTCATCTGAGCCTCGGAACCCATTTCTTCCCCTGCATCGCAGTCACCACCCTTCCACCTTTCCCTCCCCTGCACTCACCACCCTACCACCTTTCCCTCCCCTGCACTCACCACCCTACCACCTTTCCCTCCCCTGCACTCACCACCCTACCACCTTCCCCTCCCCTGCACTCATCAATCCCACCTTCCCCTTCCCTGGACTCACAACCCTGTAAGCCCCTGCTTGACAATGAACCTGAAGAGGATGTTCCAAGGGACGAGGTGAGAGCAGAACAGGCACCACCCTACCACCTCCCCTGCACCGCACTCAACCACCCCACCACCTCCCCTGCACCGCACTCAACCACCCCACCACCTCCCCTGCACCGCACTCATCACTGCACCACCTCCCCTGCACCGCACTCACCACCCCACCACCTCCCCTGCACTGCGCCGCACTCACCACCCAGTGAGCCCTTGCTTGACAATGAACCGGAAGTCCCGCCGCTTGCTGCCCGGCCTCGTGCGCCCAGTCCTGCATCCGGGGAGAGGGGGGCATGGAACTGATGTGACTTACAGCAATGCGGCTCAAATTTTAGTAATATTTGGGGTCCTATATATAACAATTAACTCTTTAGTCGAAAAGATAGTAAATTCCATAACAACCTCTTTAAATATATGTAATTTTTAAGGTAATAAGCTCTACGAGCGTCAATACCTCCATTCCTTCCTACTAGCACTCCCCTCCACGTATCCACTCCTCCCTTATCACCCTCTCCAACCCCATCCGCCATCACCCTACCCATTACCCTCCCCATCTCTCACAACGCTCTATCTGCCAATGCCTTCCCCTCCCCCTTCTCCGTCTTCCACTTCCGCCCCCCTCCCCCCTCCCCCCGCTTCCTTCTCACCATGCCCTAACTGCCAATGGTTTCCTGTCTGACGTGGCATGGATCGTGAACGTGGGCCAATCAAACTGCCACCTCAACCGCGGCCAATCAACAGCTGGCAGGTCAGGAACGCACTTCCAGGGGGGATTTTGTGCCTCTGCCACTGCTGCCCCCACTGCCGCCCCCACTGCTGCTGCCTCTGCGTCTGTGAGACTGGAAGGCTGAGAGCTGTGAGGGGTCTGAGAGGGAGTTGGGTCTGGAGAGGAGGAGGTGGTGTGGGGGATGAGGGCGGCGGGGGTGGGGGTGGTGGGGCGAGTCCAGGTGAGGGAGGGACGGGAGGAGGCGGGGAGAGAGGCGCAGGAGGAGTTGACGTGCAGGAGAGAGGAGAGGAAGGAGATGGCAGCATCATAAGCCTGAAAGATTCGGTGGGAGACAACAAGAGAACCAGGGAGGGGGAGGGGTGACAACGAAATAAAGGCGAGAGGAAATAGGGGTGAGAAGCGGAAGGAGATGTCGGCAGTGTGGGGGGGGAGGGAGAGGGGGGAAGAGGGGTTGGGGGGGGTGGGGGAGAGGGAGGGGATAAAAGAAGGGGGGTGGCCACAGAGGAAGCAGAAACAGAGACGGGTGAAGGTGAGAGGAAGAAGCGAGAGTCAAGATGGCACGAGGGTGAGGTGGAAGAGGTTGACATAAGGGAAAAGGGTTGGCGAGAAGGAGTTTGCGTTGTTGATGGGAGGGTGGAGAGAAGCGTGAAGGCGAGAAGAGTGAAGGCGAGAAGGGGCATGGGAGTGCATGGGAGGGGAGAGAAGAGCGGAGGACCTTACCCACTGTGACATCTGAATGAGTGCTCCTAGAAGCCTCAAAACTAGAGTTGCAGGAGAGAAGAGGATTGGAGGGTAAGGGCGTACCCACTGAGGCAGAAGTGTTAGTGTTAGCCCTCAATCGCAACATCATGTATTTCCACTTTTACATCCTAGCATAATGTAGTTTGCACTTGGTGCTTGGTTGCATGTACACCCACATCCCAACCAGACCCAAATTTGATCACCAAGCAATCTCCAACCTACCAATTGGAGATTGCTATGGGATGGCACCCAACTTAGTTGCGAAAGACGCGTCCTGCGTCTTAGACGGGTGCGTCCAAACGCAGCGTCTTGGACGCAGGACGCTTCATGTGGGCCTGGGAGATGCTACAAAAGACGCATGCCTGGGCAGGGCAAAAAAATCCCCCGGGCAGCCAAAAAAACACGTTGTAGGGCATGGGAAGGGGGGGGGGAGACGACGTATCACACATGTGAGGCAAAAAGGTAGCTATGGAGCGAAAGGTAGCACTGAGGAGCAAAAGGTAGCTAAACCCTCTAGGGTTCACGAAGGAGAATAATGTTCATATAAAGAGATGGAGTACAGATGAAGAGTTTGAGCTCCTAAATGGGCTTGGTGGTGGTCCACCATGGTTTGGTTTTCTAGACGTAGTTGGGTTGTGAGGGGTTGGGTTTACAATTTTGGTGATGGGCTGTTTTTGATGGTCGAAATGGGTTAGGGGGGGTCGAAATGTCGCGAATTTGTCAGTCGCGTCGAAATCGCGAATGTCAACTTCGCGCTGGCAAAAAAAAAATTCCGGTCAGCCCGAAAAAAAACCGCCGTGCGTCCTGCGTCCCTGCGTCCGGACGCTGCGTCCAGACGCAGGACGCATGACGCGCCCTGCGTCTTTCGCAACTAAGGCACCCAATCCTCTAGAGACTGTCCCTGATTCCCTTCCCATCCATACCTTGCCCATTTCTGATGTACTTAAAAAGCCTTGAGCTCATTATTTGTCAATCATTTTAAGCTGAAGTTCTCACATGGTATCAGAGCTGCGTAATCGCACACGCGGATCGTGATCCTCTTACCTTTGCGGATTCTCATCCCGCATTCTTCGGCGAAGCCGCCTTCAATCTCGTTGCCGTTGATTTGCGACATCTCTAACTGGAAATTTTCCCGCGCCAATCTCCCTACTGTCACCACGAATTCCGCGTTTTTTGCAAAGCGAATCGTCTGCGTATCGCTAATAGCGTTTTTTCTGTTGAACGAGTATGCGGCACTTCTCCTACTCGTCGAGCTGACGCCTGTCGCCCTGCAGCTTCTCGTCGGGCTGACGCCCATCGCCCTGCAGTGTCATCTTCGGGCTGCCGCTTATCGCCCTGCAACTTCTCGTCGGGCTGCCGCCTGTCGCCCGGCATCGTCACCTTCGGGTTGCCGCCTGTCGCCCTGGAGCGGCTTTATCTAAACCCTACCTTAAAATTCTTCTTCGTAAACCCCACCTTACAATTCTCCTTCGTAAACCCTACCTTAGAATTCTCCTTCGTAAACCTTACAATTCTCCTTCGGAAACCCCACCTTACAATTCTACCTACGACGACTTAAGAGCTGCGCTTCGTGCGGAAAGGAAAAATATTGTCAACATGGCATTCGCTTCCTTCACTATTGCCAACCTCATCGTCAAGGTTCATACTATTCATGGCGAGCTCAAGGAACTCGGTATAGTCTTCTCTGAGCAAGCTCCAGCATCCGCTTCTCTTGTCGGCCTCACTTTGGCATACGAAGTCTCGAGGAAGATGCTCCTCACACTCTCGACGAAAGACCTCACCTTCATAAGGTCTCTTCGCCGAGAAAGACACCACGACTCAAGTCAAAGTCTATGCCCTCCGTGCTCCCGTGCCTCAAGCAAGTGTTACCTTGGCACCTTTCCAGCGCAATCGCTTCCCTCCATGTATGGCAACCGCAAGGGACGAGTGTGTGGTGGCACTAACTGCCCCATTGCTACGTGCTTCAAGAAGAAGGACGACGAATGGTATGCCATCCATGGATTCGACAAGAAGCTGCCGAACTGAATGCGCACTCGTAAGGTCAACCTAGTCGAGACACAGGAACCCGCTCAGGCTAGTGCTAGTTATAGTGCTCGTGCTGATGTGCGTATCAACATGTTGTTCCATGGCACTGCCATGATTAATGAAGCGACCTCGCAGTACATCAGCTCACCACAGACACCACACTACATAGAATTCACACTCGACAGTGGGGCCATGCACACAGCACCCAAAGAGAAACACTCCTTCCAACCCTACTCAGTACCCATTCCTCTCTTGGGAGCGGACTCGAGCTTCACCACTCATGCTAAGGGGTCGTCCATAGTCATTTGCCCCGCCTTCCCATCCGACACTGTCACTGGCATGTACGTGCTTTCACTACGCCGCAATCTAGTGGCCCAAATTGAAATTCAGAAGGCTGACGCTGACTATTGTGACATCATCGACCCACTCACAAACAAGATCTTAGCTCGCTTCACCCTCAACAGCAGCGGCCTCTACACGATGTGTTTACCGGCCCCACAGGTGTCAACCACCCAAGCACAGGCTGCTATCACACCATGCTCATGACGTAGTCTCGCCAACCCGGCCATCCTCTACCGCCATCGGCTCAGGCACCCAAATATGCGCACGCTTGCAGACATAGCCTCAAAGAAGCTTCTTCTCGGCCTACCATCCTCGCTTCCTCCACCACCTGACTTTCCCGCTCCCACGTGCCTGACTACACCAAGAGTAAGCTGTGCCAACAACTTCACCCCGCCTCACCCTCGGTCGCAGCAGCCCCATTGGACCTAATGCACATGGACGCCTGAGGCCGTGCGCCGGTTACCACATGGGGTGGTCATCGCTATTTCCTTGCAATAGTTGATGACCACTCTCGTTACGACTCTGTGCACCTATTTCACACTAAGTCTGAGGCTCCAAAGGCCATCATGGTGTGGGTCAAACAGGCGCAGGTCACCTTTGGCACCAAGGTCAAGCGCCTCCATTCGGATGGTAGTGGTGAATTCTGCAAACGCCAAGCTTGAAGCCTTCAACTCCTTTCTTAGCATTCAGCAAAACTTCACCCTTCCCGACAGCCTGCAGCAGAATGGCATAGCAAAGAGCCGTAATCGCACTTTGGTGTTGATCGCTCCCACTAGATATGAGCACGAACCGAACTCAAACATGTTTGCTCAAACTTTTTCGAACCTTGCATGGGGGTCGAACCAAACCGAACTTGTTTGTTCGAACTTATGTTGAGATTTGAGGTTTGTATATGTAACAACGAACCTTAAAGGTTTGTGCGAACTCGAACCTAGTTAGGTTTGGGGGTAAAGATGATGCACAAGGAAATGTAAAAGGCATGCGTGTCAGACGGTTCAGCGAGAGTATCAAGTACAAAACAGAACAGCAAATGAGAGGGTAAAAAGAAATCCAGGGTTTAGCTAAAAATCGGAATGCTCCCCTCTAGCTAAAAAATATAGTTATGCGCAGTGTACTATCTAACCTAACACCTAAACGTATGACGCATCTTAAGAGGGAGTTGTAGTGAATGAATAGTAGTGTGGGAGCTTGGGTGTGGTACTTAGGAGCAGATCTAGATCTGCTCTACCTAACTTACGACCTTAGGGTTGGCTGCCGTGAAATGGCAGCCACCTCGACGACTTTCACGATTTTGACGGGAAAGTCGAGTGGGTTCTGGCGGGGTCTAATTTGAACCCCGCGAAGTTTGAAAATTGTTGTTTCGAACTTCGAACCGGACCGGTTCGAAGTTCGAAACTTGAACCATAAAAGTTTGCTCAAACGGTTCGCGCTAACTTTTTCAAGGTTTGCGCAAACGTTTTCCAAGAGAAAAGTTCGGTTCGTTTTAATTTGAACCGGTTCGAGCGAACCGAACCTAGGTTCCGTTCTTTGCTCATGTCTAGCCCCCACGCACCACTCTCATTCTAGGGGTATGCCCTTTACCATGCTGCCCTCCTCTACAATCTTTACCCCCACCCCATCCGCATCTTCCCGACACCACTCCCACCACCCTCTCGCTCGGGAAAGCACCCACAGCTCGCCCTCTTCGTGTCTGGGGGTGCGCCGCCTATGTCCTCCTCAACCCTTAGGCTCGGCGGCAGCAAGACGGCAAGCTCGGCCCCAAGACTCGAACGTGCATATATCTTGGGCATAATGCCGACTCCCCTGACTACCTCTTCCTCAACCCCACTACTCACCAACTGGTCCGCAACCGAGACGTTGTCTTTGAAGAGACTCGCCCTTTCTACTCTACGTTAGGGGGGATTCTCCCACCGGACCACCTCCCTTGTGTGGGCTGACTTTGATGTGCCTCCTGGACTTCCGCCTGCACCGGCTCCCTCACCTCCTACTACTCCTGCCATGGCACCAACCCTCTCCGAGGTCTCTACCTCGCCCTCACCAGTGTCCTCGGTAGTTGCTCCTCCATCCCTCCCCTCTCCCACTCTGCCACCCGCACTTCCACCACCGAGCGAACCTATCACATACCAGCGGCGGTCGACCCATCCGACCCCGCGTCCTCCCTCCATTCCCTCTTCCACTCTGCCACCCGCTCTCCCACCATCGAGTGCACCGATCACGTACCAGCGGCGGCCGATTCCTCCGGCCCCGCCTCCTTTACCGGCCCCTCCGGCCCCGCCCGCTACACCCTCATCTCCGCAGTCTCGCAAGCCTGCACTTCCACTCGCACTCGCCATTCGGTGCTCTAGCACATCTTTCCTGATATCACTGACTCACCCTCACTCAACTTCTCAGAGAACCCGACCATCCTCATCCCTCTCACTATCCAAGAGGCTCTTTCGGGTCCCTATGCTGCTGAGTGGCGCAATGACATGAGAGATGAATGCGAAGCCTTCACTCGCAACCACTTCTTCGACGACGAAACTTCACCTCTAGGAGTCAACATCTTTGAAGGCACGTGGCTGTTTCAAGTGAAAAGGCTTTTGGATGAGGCTCAATGTTCAAAGCGTGCTGTGTGGCCAAGAATTCACTCAGCAGCAGCACTTCTGACTTTTTTCAGGACCTTCTCTCCCATGGCCTAATCACCCACCGTTCGCACGCTCTTGGATACGGCCGCACGAGAAAACATGGAAATCAAATCCATGGGCGCCTCTTCGGCAATTCTGCAAGAACACCTTAAAGAGACTGTGCTCGTGGATCGACCCGAAGGCTTTCCGGGAGAATTTCCTCCCAACACTGTCTGGAAGCTCCTCATGAGTGGCGCAACAAGGTGAAGAAGGTCCTCCTCTCATCGGACTTTCACCCATCATCTCCTGACCCGAAATTTTTCATTTGCAATCACTATGAGCCATTCTACATCCTTGTCTACGTCGATGACTTCATCCTCGTCTCCAAAGACTCGGCCCAGATGACCTCTATCCAGACTACCCTGAGCAAGGCCCTCTTGATGAAGGACATTGGTGACCTCAAGCACTACTTGGGGACGGGGATCATTCGTGATCGTCAGGCTCGCACCGTCTCGTTCTCCCAAGAGTTCTACATTGACAATGTTCTCAAGCACCTTGAGATGGAATCCTGCACACCCATGGCCACCCCGCTGCCGCTACAACACCTCCTCACAGCTCCAGCTATACCCACACCAGAGGCCTGCTACGAGCCATACCCTGACCTTGTTAGGTCCCTCAGGTACGCCATGATGTGCACCCGGCCTGATGTGGCATATCCTGTCAGTGTCCTCTCTCGCTATGTGGCTCTTGGATGTTTCATCGATCTCCACTGGAAGGCGGCGAAGTGGGTGCTGCGCCATCTGCAAGGCACCAAGTCTCATGTCTTCACATTTGGTGGTCTTTCTCCTACTCTGGAGGGCTACAGTGACTTCTCTTGGGCTGATGACCAGACCGACCGACACTCCTCTTAGGGCTACTTCTTCACCCTTGGAAGTGGAGTTGTTAGCTGACACTCTACCAGGTCGTCTGTGGTCTCCCTCTCCTCCTGTGAGGCAGAAATATACGCTGAGACCATGGCAGCTCAAGATGCCCATTGGCCCACCTTCCTCCTCCAGGAGCTTGGCTACCCTCAGCCTGCTCCCACCCTCTAGTGTGATTACAAAGGTGCCATCCACCTCTCCCAGGATCCAGTGTTTTACACTCGCTCCAAGCCCCTTGGGAAGGTCCCACACTATCATCTTCTTGGCGCCATAAGGCTGTGTGCCCCTCCTCTGTCATGAGTTCGATTGACGTATATGGGGGGGTGTTAGTGTTAGCCTCAATCTCAACTTTTGTATTTGCACTTTTATATTCTAGCATAGTGTAGTTTGCACTTCGAGTTTTGTTGAGTGTATACCCATATCTCAACCAAACCCAAATGTGATCACCAAGCAATCTCCAACCCACCAATTGGAGATTGCCTTGGGATTGCCCCCAATCCCTTGGAGATTGTCCCTGATTCCTCCCCATCCATACCTTGCCTATTTCTGATGTACTTAGAGAGCCTTGAGCTCATTACTAGTCAATCACTTCAAGCTCACAATCTCACAAGAAGAGGGTTGGAGAGTAAGGGCGTACCCACTGAGACAAAAGGGGGGTTGGAGCGTAAGAGCGTACCCACTGAGACAAAAGAGGGTTGGAGGGTAAGGGCATACCCACTGAGACAGAAGAGGGTTGGAGGGTAACAGCGTACCTTGAGACAAAAGAGGGTTGGAGGTTAAGGGCGTGCGTACCCACTGAGACAGATGAGGGTTGGAGGGTAAGGGCGTACCCAATAGGACTTCTGAATGACCATGTGGTCCACGTTGGCCACGAACTTAAGTAGCGTGGGGGGTGGCAGGCCATTGTAATAGAAGTACCTGCCAGGCGCATCCACAGGGGGAGAGTGAGTGTGAGGAATGGACGCGTGCACATGGAGCCAACAAGGGTGACAAAAGGGGTTGTGTGCGAAGAGAAATAAAGGGTGTGTGGCATTCTGAGGTGCCCCAAACCATTATCTGACAGTACTCGTATTGGCGAGAGGAAGTTGAGAAGGCAGAAACACACATGTCTTGGCACGTGCGCAAGTGCTGTGACATGGGATCCGCACTCAAGGGAAAACAAACAACATGCATTTTTTCCACGTATACGCAATTTTCCCTGCAAATGAATGAGGACGTGCGCAAAAACAGAACAAAAAGGCACTTAAGAGGACGTGCACTACACGGACAGCCAGCAAAAAGGACGTGCGTATGAGTCATCCATGCGACACTAACGAGTCGTCTATTCAGCACTGTTGTGCAACATGTCCCAGTGGACGGTTTCTCACCTTTAGTCTTAGAGATCACAAGTTAAACTCTCAGCAGCTGCACTTTCCCTTCTCGTTATGCTCACCATCACAAGTCCACTCCACCACACTCACCCACATTGAAGTGCGGTCGCTGTTGGCATTGCCACATGTCCACTCATCCCATGCTCACCTTGCTGGCCCCTATGGTGTGCCATATGCTGCCTTGTCGGCTGTTGTTCCAGCCTAGCCCACATGTGCAACATGAGGCCTCACTTGCTAGCTTGACAAGGTTGGCTAGCCTTGCACTCAGCTTGGAGGAGCTGCAGCTAGCCTCAAGAGTTCAGCCATGTATATGTGGTTTTTTACTTCACTAAATCTCATCCTTTGACTAGGACATTGCTCTAGCCTCTCAGGCTTGTACCATCTTCCTACTAAGGATATATTTTCTTTTCACATTGTGCCCTCAAGTTCACCGATCCATTTTCTACAAGCAGCCATTAAGGGGGCTTAGCGGGGCATGGGGCACTCACAAGTCATCCTTCAAGGCTATGCAGACAGGTATCAGGAGACGTGCACTCACGAGTCGTCCATCAATGAGTCATCCATGCGACACTCCCGAGTCATCCATGCGACAGTCACGGCTCATCTATTCAGCAGCAATGAAGGGGGCTGGGGCACTCACGAGTCTTCCTTCAAAAGGTGGCGTGCACTCACGAGTCGTCCATCAAGAAGAACTCGTCGTTGGAGGCGGCGATGAGCAGCTTGGGCATGGTGAGGCGCTCCCGAAAGAAGTAGGGGTCCGTGTAGCTCTATGGGGGTGGGGGGAAAGGGGTGGGGGAAGGGAGAAGGGGGGGTGGTGGTAGGAGGGTTTGGGGCGGGAGTGGGAGGGAAACAGGGAAGGGAGGGGGGGAAGGAGGGGGGCTTGTGAGTCAGTGGCATTTGTTGTCTATCAAGCGTGGAGTGAAAGAAAAGGGTTTTGAGTTTTTAAGCATTCCCAAATGCATGGTTGGAGAGCTTTCGGGCTGGGCTGTTGACTAGAACTCTGCGAGACCACCCCCCCCTCCCACTCCGCCCCTGCCTACCTCCCTCCCTAAGCCCTACACGTTTTTCCATTAACCTGAACCCCAACCCTCGACCTCGTTCCTTCCCTCTGCCCTCTGCCCTCGGGCCTACTTAATGGCTGCTGTTGGCTCCTTGTTCCTCATTATTTCGTGTGGGTTCCAAATTTCCAACCCACCTGCCTCTCTCCCTCTCTATCCCTCTCCATCCCTCTCTAACCTCTCTAACCCTCTCTGTCTCTCAATTCCTTCCTTCTCACCAGGATGTGACGCAGCTGTGGGGTGTGCAGAAAGCGAGTGAGGTTGTAATCCACGTAGAACCTTCCCACATCCCATCCATCTCCCATCCCATCCATCTCCCATCCCATCCATCACCCATTTATCACTCTCATAAATTTATGCATGCATCCATCAACCATTCATCACTCTCATACATTCATACATGCATGCATCCATCACCCATATTTCACCACCCATCATCCATCGCCTTGGAGCGACTATGGCGGGCAGGCGGGCCGTGGACCAGGCATCATTGCTAACTGGCCAGCCCCGGGCGGGCCCGTTATGACTGGGATGGGGTGGGGGGGGCATGGGTCGGCCCGGACTTGGCAATTTCAGGTAATAGCTCATAACAAGTGCAGTCCTTCCTTACCCCCACTCATCTGTACCCCTGTGCATCCCTACCCCCATGCGTGCATGCATCCCTTCAACTGATGCAAGGAAGAACCGGTCCTTGGAAGCAAGCAAGCAAGCAACAACACGGAGGCAGCAGCAGCAGCACAGCACTCACTGGCACGTGCGGCAGCAGCTCCCTGGCAGCGAGCTGGGTGGCATCGAGGGCGCGGACGAGGGACTTGGCCATGGGCATGTAGATGGACCACTCGGGGGTGCTGGGGTCGTGCAGTGCCATGCCCAGTGTGACTGGCGGACGAGGTGCGTAAAGGGGGCAGGTGAGGCGGACGAGGTGCGTAAAGGGGGCAGGTGAGGCGGACGAGGCGGGTGAGGCAGGTGAGGGGAGGGGAGAGGAGGAGGTATGGGCGAGGGAAGGAAAGTTAAGTTCTGCACTCATATCCTCACATGCACTCATATCCTCACATGCACTCATATCCTCACATGCACTCATATCCTCACATGCACTCATATCCTCACATGCACTCATATCCTCACATGCACTCATTTCCTCACATGCACTCATTTCCCGCACTACCAGCTATTAGGTGGGGTATTGCTACTGCTGCAGACACCAGCAGGAAAAAGCACACTAAAGGCTTACTGCATCGTCCTCTAGCACATCTTGGCTTACGCTGCTGCTGTAGCGGACACGCTATAACCTGCCTCGTTTACAGACTGCGATCTCCTATGCGTGCAAATCTTGGTATCTTCTGCTGCGGCTGACATCAGGGGCGATGCGGACCTGGTATAAGCTGACTCGCTTACAGGCTGTGATCTCCTCCTCCATGAGCTCTTGGCTCATGCTCTTGCTGACGCCAGGCGGTGAGGAGTAGAAGGTGATGGGCATCATGGGCTGCTGGTGCAGCATGACGCCCAGCATGCCCAGATCCACCACCAGCCTGCACGCGGGTACAGCAGAGTGGGTGTCATAGCAGAGTGGAGGGGAGAGAGGAGGAGGTTGGTGACGCCCAGATCCACCACCAGCCTGAATGTGAGGCAATACGGTGGGAGGGGGTGGGGAGGGGTTGTGTGGAAGAAATGGGGGGGACTGGAAGAAGGACGATGCAACAGGCACAAGGCTCACGCCCCTCCCACTCACGCCCCTCAATCCCACTCGCGCCCCACCTACTCACGCACACCTGCAACGTGGGTGGAAACATGCAACGCACTGCACTTGTTGTCAGAAATGAGAGTTGAATCGATAGGTTAAAGAAAAACATACATGGCCTTAAGTACCACAAACTAGGAGGGGTTGGGTGGATAAGTTGCAATTGGAAGAATATCCTAGAAGGATCCATCCAAATCAAGGAAAAATTGGATGGATGGGTGTGGATAGGTTTGGATAGGTTGGGGATAAAAAGTCTACACCCAACCCAACCAGAAACAAACTTACTAAAAGTTGGAAATCCTAAAAATGTAACGCTAACACACAAAGTGCAGCCTATTTCCAACAATCATGCCCCTTCTTCCCACTCATAACACACCTTTTGAACTCACTCAAGTCCCTCTCACTCACGCCGCTCACAAACCAAACCAGCAACACAGATGAAGAAGTCTGTCTGCATGGCATGGTAGCGCCACATGGAGCTCCCACTCCCATGGAGCTCCCATTCCCATGGAGCTCCCACTCCCATGGAGCTCCCACTCCCATGGAGCTCCCACTCCCATGGAGCTCCCACTCCCATGGAGCTCCCACTCCCATGGAGCTCCCACTCCCATGGTGCTCCCACTCCCATGGAGCTCCCACTCCCATGGTGCTCCCACTCACTCACACCTGCACTGTGGGTGAGAGCCATCACTGCAACCGCGCCACTCTCTGCCACTCACGCCACTCTCTGTCTCTCACGCCACTCTCTGTCACTCACGCCACTCTCTGTCACTCACGCCACTCTCTGTCACTCACGCCACTCTCTGTCACTCATGCCACTCTCTGTCACTCACGCCACTCTCTGTCACTCACGCCACTCTCTGTCACTCAAGCCACTCTCTGTCACTCACGCCACTCTCTGTCACTCACGCCACTCTCTGTCACTCACGACACTCTCTGTCACTCACGCCACTCTCTGTCCCTCACGCCACTCTCTGTCACTCACGCCACTCTCTGTCTCTCACGCCACTCTCTGTCACTTACGCCACTCTCTGTCACTCATGCCACTCTCTGTCACTCACGCCACTCTCTGTCTCTCACACCACTCTCTGTCACTCACGCCACTCTCTGTCACTCACGCCACTCTCTGTCACTCACGCCACACTCTGTCACTCACGCCACTCTCTGTCACTCACGCCACTCTCTGTCACTCACGCCACTCTCTGTCCCTCACGCCACTCTCTGTCACTCACGCCACTCTCTGTCTCTCACGCCACTCTCTGTCACTTACGCCACTCTCTGTCACTCATGCCACTCTCTGTCACTCACGCCACTCTCTGTCTCTCACACCACTCTCTGTCACTCACGCCACTCTCTGTCACTCACGCCACTCTCTGTCACTCACGCCACACTCTGTCACTCACGCCACTCTCTGTCACTCACGCCACTCTCTGTCACTCACGCCACTCTCTGTCACTCACGCCACTCTCTGTCTCTCACACCACTCTCTGTCACTCACGCCACTCTCTGTCACTCACGCCACTCTCTGTCTCTCACGCCACTCTCTGTCACTCACGCCACTCTCTGTCACTCACGCCACTCTCTGTCACTCACGCCACTCTCTGTCACTCACGCCACTCTCTGTCCCTCACGCCACACTCTGTCACTCACGCCACTCTCTGTCTCTCACGCCACTCTCTGTCACTTACGCCACTCTCTGTCACTCACGCCACTCTCTGTCACTCACGCCACTCTCTGTCTCTCACACCACTCTCTGTCACTCACGCCACTCTCTGTCACTCACGCCACTCTCTGTCACTCACGCCACACTCTGTCACTCACGCCACTCTCTGTCACTCACGCCACACTCTGTCACTCACGCCACTCTCTGTCACTCACGCCACTCTCTGTCTCTCACACCACTCTCTGTCACTCACGCCACTCTCTGTCACTCACGCCACTCGCTGTCACTCACGCCACACTCTGTCACTCACGCCACACTCTGTCACTCACGCCACTCTCTGTCACTCACGCCACTCTCTGTCTCTCACGCCACTCTCTGTCACTTACGCCACTCTCTGTCACTCACGCCACTCTCTGTCACTCACGCACTCTCTGTCTCTCACACCACTCTCTGTCACTCACGCCACTCTCTGTCACTCACGCCACTCTCTGTCACTCACGCCACACTCTGTCACTCATGCCACTCTCCGTCACTCACGCCACACTCTGTCACTCACGCCACACTCTGTCACTCACGCCACTCTCTGTCACTCACGCCACTCTCTGTCTCTCACGCCACTCTCTGTCACTTACGCCACTCTCTGTCACTCACGCCACTCTCTGTCACTCACGCCACTCTCTGTTTCTCACACCACTCTCTGTCACTCACGCCACTCTCTGTCACTCACGCCACTCTCTGTCACTCACGCCACACTCTGTCACTCATGCCACTCTCTGTCACTCACGCCACACTCTGTCACTCACGCCACTCTCTGTCACACACGCCACTCTCTGTCACTCACGCCACTCTCTGTCACTCATGCCACTCTCTGTCACTCACGCCACTCTCTGTCACTCACGCCACTCTCTGTCACTCACGCACTCTCTGTCACTCAAGCCACTCTCTGTCACTCACGCCACTCTCTGTCACTTACGCCACTCTCTGTCACTCATGCCACTCTCTGTCACTCACGCCACTCTCTGTCTCTCACACCACTCTCTGTCACTCACACCACTCTCTGTCACTCACGCCACTCTCTGTCACTCACGCCACACTCTGTCACTCACGCCACTCTCTGTCACTCACGCCACTCTCTCTCACTCACGCCACTCTCTGTCACTCACGCCACTCTCTGTCTCTCACACCACTCTCTGTCACTCACGCCACTCTCTGTCACTCACGCCACTCTCTGTCTCTCACGCCACTCTCTGTCACTCACGCCACTCTCTGTCACTCACGCCACTCTCTGTCACTCACGCCACTCTCTGTCACTCACGCCACTCTCTGTCACTCACGCCTCTCTCTGTCACTCACGCCACTCTCTGTCACTCACGCCACTCTCTGTCTCTCACACCACTCTCTGTCACTCACGCCACTCTCTGTCACTCACGCCACTCTCTGTCTCTCACGCCACTCTCTGTCACTCACGCCACTCTCTGTCACTCACGCCACTCTCTGTCACTCACGCCACTCTCTGTCACTCACGCCACACTCTGTCACTCATGCCACTCTCCGTCACTCACGCCACACTCTGTCACTCACGCCACACTCTGTCACTCACGCCACTCTCTGTCACTCACGCCACTCTCTGTCTCTCACGCCACTCTCTGTCACTTACGCCACTCTCTGTCACTCACGCCACTCTCTGTCACTCACGCCACTCTCTGTCTCTCACACCACTCTCTGTCACTCACGCCACTCTCTGTCACTCACGCCACTCTCTGTCACTCACGCCACACTCTGTCACTCATGCCACTCTCTGTCACTCACGCCACACTCTGTCACTCACGCCACTCTCTGTCACTCACGCCACTCTCTGTCACTCACGCCACTCTCTGTCACTTACGCCACTCTCTGTCACTCATGCCACTCTCTGTCACTCACGCCACTCTCTGTCTCTCACACCACTCTCTGTCACTCACGCCACTCTCTGTCACTCACGCCACTCTCTGTCACTCACGCCACACTCTGTCACTCACGCCACTCTCTGTCACTCACGCCACACTCTGTCACTCACGCCACTCTCTGTCACTCACGCCACTCTCTGTCTCTCACACCACTCTCTGTCACTCACGCCACTCGCTGTCACTCACGCCACTCGCTGTCACTCACGCCACACTCTGTCACTCACGCCACACTCTGTCACTCACGCCACTCTCTGTCACTCACGCCACTCTCTGTCTCTCACGCCACTCTCTGTCACTTACGCCACTCTCTGTCACTCACGCCACTCTCTGTCACTCACGCACTCTCTGTCTCTCACGCCACTCTCTGTCACTCACGCCACTCTCTGTCACTCACGCCACACTCTGTCACTCACGCCACTCTCCGTCACTCACGCCACACTCTGTCACTCACGCCACACTCTGTCACTCACGCCACTCTCTGTCACTCACGCCACTCTCTGTCTCTCACGCCACTCTCTGTCACTTACGCCACTCTCTGTCACTCACGCCACTCTCTGTCACTCACGCCACTCTCTGTCTCTCACACCACTCTCTGTCACTCACGCCGCTCTCTGTCACTCACGCCACTCTCTGTCACTCACGCCACACTCTGTCACTCATGCCACTCTCTGTCACTCACGCCACACTCTGTCACTCACGCCACTCTCTGTCACTCACGCCACTCTCTGTCACTCACGCCACTCTCTGTCACTCATGCCACTCTCTGTCACTCACGCCACTCTCTGTCACTCACGCCACTCTCTGTCACTCACGCCACTCTCTGTCACTCAAGCCACTCTCTGTCACTCACGCCACTCTCTGTCACTTACGCCACTCTCTGTCACTCATGCCACTCTCTGTCACTCACGCCACTCTCTGTCACTCAAGCCACTCTCTGTCACTCACGCCACTCTCTGTCACTTACGCCACTCTCTGTCACTCATGCCACTCTCTGTCACTCACGCCACTCTCTGTCTCTCACACCACTCTCTGTCACTCACGCCACTCTCTGTCACTCACGCCACTCTCTGTCACTCACGCCACACTCTGTCACTCACGCCACTCTCTGTCACTCACGCCACTCTCTGTCACTCACGCCACTCTCTGTCACTCACGCCACTCTCTGTCTCTCACACCACTCTCTGTCACTCACGCCACTCTCTGTCACTCACGCCACTCTCTGTCACTTACGCCACTCTCTGTCACTCACGCCACTCTCTGTCACTCACGCCACTCTCTGTTTCTCACACCACTCTCTGTCACTCACGCCACTCTCTGTCACTCACGCCACTCTCTGTCACTCACGCCACACTCTGTCACTCATGCCACTCTCTGTCACTCACGCCACACTCTGTCACTCACGCCACTCTCTGTCACACACGCCACTCTCTGTCACTCACGCCACTCTCTGTCACTCATGCCACTCTCTGTCACTCACGCCACTCTCTGTCACTCACGCCACTCTCTGTCACTCACGCACTCTCTGTCACTCAAGCCACTCTCTGTCACTCACGCCACTCTCTGTCACTTACGCCACTCTCTGTCACTCATGCCACTCTCTGTCACTCACGCCACTCTCTGTCTCTCACACCACTCTCTGTCACTCACACCACTCTCTGTCACTCACGCCACTCTCTGTCACTCACGCCACACTCTGTCACTCACGCCACTCTCTGTCACTCACGCCACTCTCTCTCACTCACGCCACTCTCTGTCACTCACGCCACTCTCTGTCTCTCACACCACTCTCTGTCACTCACGCCACTCTCTGTCACTCACGCCACTCTCTGTCTCTCACGCCACTCTCTGTCACTCACGCCACTCTCTGTCACTCACGCCACTCTCTGTCACTCACGCCACTCTCTGTCACTCACGCCACTCTCTGTCACTCACGCCTCTCTCTGTCACTCACGCCACTCTCTGTCACTCACGCCACTCTCTGTCTCTCACACCACTCTCTGTCACTCACGCCACTCTCTGTCACTCACGCCACTCTCTGTCTCTCACGCCACTCTCTGTCACTCACGCCACTCTCTGTCACTCACGCCACTCTCTGTCACTCACGCCACTCTCTGTCACTCACGCCACACTCTGTCACTCATGCCACTCTCCGTCACTCACGCCACACTCTGTCACTCACGCCACACTCTGTCACTCACGCCACTCTCTGTCACTCACGCCACTCTCTGTCTCTCACGCCACTCTCTGTCACTTACGCCACTCTCTGTCACTCACGCCACTCTCTGTCACTCACGCCACTCTCTGTCTCTCACACCACTCTCTGTCACTCACGCCACTCTCTGTCACTCACGCCACTCTCTGTCACTCACGCCACACTCTGTCACTCATGCCACTCTCTGTCACTCACGCCACACTCTGTCACTCACGCCACTCTCTGTCACTCACGCCACTCTCTGTCACTCACGCCACTCTCTGTCACTTACGCCACTCTCTGTCACTCATGCCACTCTCTGTCACTCACGCCACTCTCTGTCTCTCACACCACTCTCTGTCACTCACGCCACTCTCTGTCACTCACGCCACTCTCTGTCACTCACGCCACACTCTGTCACTCACGCCACTCTCTGTCACTCACGCCACACTCTGTCACTCACGCCACTCTCTGTCACTCACGCCACTCTCTGTCTCTCACACCACTCTCTGTCACTCACGCCACTCGCTGTCACTCACGCCACTCGCTGTCACTCACGCCACACTCTGTCACTCACGCCACACTCTGTCACTCACGCCACTCTCTGTCACTCACGCCACTCTCTGTCTCTCACGCCACTCTCTGTCACTTACGCCACTCTCTGTCACTCACGCCACTCTCTGTCACTCACGCACTCTCTGTCTCTCACGCCACTCTCTGTCACTCACGCCACTCTCTGTCACTCACGCCACACTCTGTCACTCACGCCACTCTCCGTCACTCACGCCACACTCTGTCACTCACGCCACACTCTGTCACTCACGCCACTCTCTGTCACTCACGCCACTCTCTGTCTCTCACGCCACTCTCTGTCACTTACGCCACTCTCTGTCACTCACGCCACTCTCTGTCACTCACGCCACTCTCTGTCTCTCACACCACTCTCTGTCACTCACGCCGCTCTCTGTCACTCACGCCACTCTCTGTCACTCACGCCACACTCTGTCACTCATGCCACTCTCTGTCACTCACGCCACACTCTGTCACTCACGCCACTCTCTGTCACTCACGCCACTCTCTGTCACTCACGCCACTCTCTGTCACTCATGCCACTCTCTGTCACTCACGCCACTCTCTGTCACTCACGCCACTCTCTGTCACTCACGCCACTCTCTGTCACTCAAGCCACTCTCTGTCACTCACGCCACTCTCTGTCACTTACGCCACTCTCTGTCACTCATGCCACTCTCTGTCACTCACGCCACTCTCTGTCACTCAAGCCACTCTCTGTCACTCACGCCACTCTCTGTCACTTACGCCACTCTCTGTCACTCATGCCACTCTCTGTCACTCACGCCACTCTCTGTCTCTCACACCACTCTCTGTCACTCACGCCACTCTCTGTCACTCACGCCACTCTCTGTCACTCACGCCACACTCTGTCACTCACGCCACTCTCTGTCACTCACGCCACTCTCTGTCACTCACGCCACTCTCTGTCACTCACGCCACTCTCTGTCTCTCACACCACTCTCTGTCACTCACGCCACTCTCTGTCACTCACGCCACTCTCTGTCTCTCACGCCACTCTCTGTCACTCACGCCACTCTCTGTCACTCACGCCACTCTCTGTCACTCACGCCACTCTCTGTCACTCACGCCGCTCTCTGTCACTCACGCCACTCTCTGTCACTCATGCCACTCTCTGTCACTCACGCCACTCTCTGTCTCTCACACCACTCTCTGTCACTCACGCCACTCTCTGTCACTCACGCCACTCTCTGTCACTCACGCCACTCTCTGTCACTCAAGCCACTCTCTGTCACTCACGCCACTCTCTGTCACTTACGCCACTCTCTGTCACTCACGCCACTCTCTGTCACTCACGCCACTCTCTGTCACTCACGCCACTCTCTATCACTCACGCCACTCTCTATCACTCACGCCACTCTCTGTCACTCACGCCACACTCTGTCACTCACGCCACTCTCTGTCACTCACGCCACTCTCTGTCACTCAAGCCACTCTCTGTCACTCACGCCACTCTCTGTCACTTACGCCACTCTCTGTCACTCATGCCACTCTCTGTCACTCACGCCACTCTCTGTCACTCACGCCACTCTCTGTCACTCACGCCACTCTCTGTCACTCACGCCACTCTCTGTCTCTCACACCACTCTCTGTCACTCACGCCACTCTCTGTCACTCACGCCACTCTCTGTCACTCACGCCACTCTCTGTCACTCACGCCACTCTCTGTCACTCACGCCACTCTCTGTCACTCACGCCACTCTCTGTCACTCACGCCACTCTCTGCCACTCATGGGGCGGCGACAAGGATGTAGACGCCGGTCTGTTTGGGGATGTGGTAGCGCCGGTCATCCCTGCCATCGTCATTCCACCCCTTGGCACACGGTGCTCCCACCGCTCACGCCCACCTGCACCGCACTGCGCCACACTGCACTGCACGCCACTCACGGGGCAGCGACGCGGATGAAGACGTCGGAGTCTTTGGGGATGTGGTAGCTCCAGTCGCCCCGCCCGTGGTCGTTCAACCCCGCCCCCACGAAGAACAGCACGAGCCCCTTGCTGGCACGCGACATGTTGTCCGGCGCCTGGGCGGGCGGGAGGATGGATGGAGAAACACAAGATAAGCATTGAAGCTGCACATGGCATGCGTTGACCCGCACATGGCATGCATTGACCCGCACATGGCATGCGTTGACCCGCACATGGCATGCGTTGACCCGCACATGGCATGCGTTGACCCGCACATGGCATGCGTTGACCCGCACATGGCATGCGTTGACCCGCACATGGCACGCGTTGACCTGCACATGGCATGCGTTGACCCGCACATGGCATGCATTGACCCGCACAAGACATGCATTGAGGATGCATAAGACATGCATTGAGGATGCATAAGACATGCATTGAGGATGCATAAGACATGCATTGAGGATCCACAGGACATGCTTTGAAGATGCACAAGACATGCTTTGAAGATGCACAAGACATGCTTTAGATAAAAAATCCCCAGACCATAAAGAACAGCACCAGCCCCTTGCTGGCGCTCGGAGGCAACCGTTGGAGGTTAGGCTTCATGCCTTGCCTTGCCACCACATGGCATAAACACCCATTTGGCACCTCATGGGACAGTACCTCATGGCACCGCACCAAACAGCCACACCAACACCACACCAACTACACCCAGGCTGCAGTAAGCAAGCGCACGAGACCACTGCTCCGCATGTTGGTGGATTGGGAACAACAGCGCTGTTTCCCAGAACTATGTGAAGCTCTTCATGCCCCACCAGCCTGAAGCTATATAGTGCAGCTTGAAACGAAAAGCCCAGTGCTCACAATGAGCGTTAGGTGGTGCCAGCAATGGAATCGGTTGGTAACGGATTGGTTGAGCCAGCGGTGGGCGTTCACCAGCAGCACATACCCCGTCCACCACCCCCCAGGCTCCTTGGCTCGCATGCGATTGCCCGTGTCCTTCCACCTGAGAGCAGGTGCAGCCAGGCACAGGAAAAGAATGAGAATTCCTACAAGAGGTTTTAGCTCCTTGGCTTGCATGCGGTTGCCCGTGTCCTTCCACCTGTCAGCAGCAGGGCAGAGAGAGAGTAACAGACACCATAAGGTAGGTAGGATGGGTTGGTGAGTGCGAGTGACAGCTTTTGAGCCACCTGTGCCTGGAGGGAGGTGGGAGAGAGAGGGCACAAGCATACTAAACCTCCCCTCAGCACAAGTGGATGGAGGTGGGAGAGAGAGAGAGCACAAGCATACCTAACCACACGCAGATTGTAAGAGCTAAAACGCGGAGATATGTGAGCACGCAAACTCAAGGCAGGTATGGGATCAGTCAGTGGTCACACGCCACCCTACAGGCTCCTGACCGCAGGTGGTTACCCAGTTACCCACGTGTCCTCCTTCCCACTTGGGTGGCTGGAAAGCTCCTGAATCGCAACAGACGGGGCAGACGCAGACGAGCAGCACCTAACCTTCGCCAACTCCGTCTCACCAAGAGGCGATCCAAACGTGCAGACCGCCAACTTGTGCTTATAACGAGCGTGCACGATGAAGCCAAGGATCCAAGGGACTTGAGGGTGCAAGGGTTCAGTGAGGAGGGACCCTCTGTTCGGCCGTCAGTGAGGAGGGACCCTCTGTTCGGCCGTCAGTGAGGAGGGACCCTCTGTTCGGCCGTCAGTGAGGAGGGACCCTCTGTTCGGCCGTCAGTGAGGAGGGACCCTCTGTTCGGCCGTCAGTGAGGAGGGACCCTCTGTTCGGCCGTCAGTGAGGAGGGACCCTCTGTTCGGCCGTCAGTGAGGAGGGACCCTCTGTTCGGCCGTCAGTGAGGAGGGACCCTCTGTTCGGCCGTCAGTGAGGTGAACATGACTGGTCGGCCAAACCGAGCTTGCTGCGATCTACCCTCTGGTGAGACCCTTTGGTGAGACCCAGAGGGTAAACAATGGGTCGTCTGTTGACCTCACGGCGGATGGCATACTTCAACTCAAGGTGGAATTTGGAAGATTATGGCTGCATGGTTCGGTGGCCGTCATTCGCTTCTGCCAAGGCGAAGGGCAGTATAGTTGGAAAAAACTCACCCGAATTCCGCATCCGCGGTATAAACATATCTGTCCAGCAGTGTGCCATGACAATTCCTCGCCGTTTCGCAGCCGCTTTGCGGGAAAAACGTCGACCCCGACGACTGTGCGGTAGGTCGCAGCTCGAAGATCGCCAAGTATGCGACGGTCAGCGCGACGGCGACAGGCAGAATGCGACGAGTGAGAGCCGCCTGAAGTCGCCTGACGACGACACCAGGGTTTGACGCGTGCGTACGCGACATAATGAGCTTCGCTAACGGATCGTGATCGCTTCTGTAGAACAGCTTCAGTCAGCTGGCTCACAATAAGAACCTCAGTACGCCGTTCTTGCTAGAAGCCATGATGCATTGTGCATTGTCGATGTTCGGCTAACTGCATTGCTCGGATGCGACAACGAAAACAACGACATGACGTTTTGTTCAGTGGATCGGGAGCAACGGTTTCTGGTTGTGGATTCAAAATGGGTGCTGAAACATACCCTTTCAAAAGCTGCTTCGATTGCGCTATAACGAGGAAGCAGGAGGTGCGCGATAGCTCCCCCTGTCTAGAACACCAGCTCCAGCTATGAATAAGAAAGTTGATGTTGTGCGAACAATGCATTGGCAAATTATACATGACCCGAATGGTTTTACCCGCTAAGAATCTAAGAACCCATGAGACACGATTCCTGTCGGAAATATTGAATAATATCAAAATGGAAACTCTGGCAAACATCTCACCAACAGTACACTACGAGCACGATGCAAATATTCATGTATACATATGTATACATAGCACAGTAATTTTCAACATGCTGAGCTTGTGTTACCTGCAAGGCTACTGGTGTGGCACATCCCCACCATATCCAACGTTGTTGGCAAGAATAGTTGCCTGGCTGACAAGGTGAGAACGGCAGCTTGTTTGAGGCTAAAAGGGCTTCAGTAGTGAGCACAAAAGGTGCTGCAGTCGGTGGGTGATGTGATGCTACCTAGACTCGAACTGCTGCTGTGCTGACTCGGCAATGGCTTCACTACTTTCCTGCGTTCCCGCATCTCGTTTAATATGTCTTGTTGTCTTCAATCCTGAATCCCACTACCGCTCATTTCACGTCCCCTCCGCCCCTCTCCCCTCTTGTCTGCCTCTCCCCCAGGCAGATCCCTGTGCCGCCCTGAACTGTGCTCCTAACGGCGAATGTTATCGTTTTGATGACGGCACGGCTTCTTCGTGGAGTCGCAAAATCAGCTTCATTCCACAATGCTCAAAGCCCCACCTGCAAATGACACGAGATGTGTATAAACTTGTTTGTTGTAGGAGCAGTTTTTACTCCTAAATACCCTCCTTCACGCAACGAATGCCCACAAGAGCGTCAACATATCAGTGAACTTTATACGGAACCCGTGTAACCGTCACATAGTCACCTTGGGGAACGTCGGTAATGGTGGAGGTGAAGTGCCACACGCCATCCTCAGGGTGGTGCTTGGGCGGGGACACAGTGTGCTGAAAGTAAGGGATGGCCTACACACACAGGTTGAAATTGCCTGTGTACGTGCCCGGTACCGTTGGCATCATGCTGCCAGCAAAGGGGGGGAGGAGGAGATGGGGAACGTGATGTTGAGGGGGTTGGGGGGATGAAGGGAGATAGGGAAGCAGGTGCAGAGGAAAGAAAATTTGGGCTGCACGAACAGGGCATACGCCATTGCACTCATCATCCCCTTGCACCACTCACCATCCCCTTGCCATTTGCTTCCTGACGTTTCACCGCTTGCTGGCTGTGCGGGCAGTCCTGTGAGACGTGGGAGCATGGTAGCGGAAGGGGGAGACGTGGGAGCATGGTAGCGGAAGGGGGAAAAGAGAAACGGGATGGTGTGGGAAGGGAGAAAGGGGAAGGGGAAGAGGGGGAAAGGGGGAAATACTACATGCCCCTGAATAATTCTTTCCTCAGACAGGGTTGAGCTTATGTGAATTGGACAAGAAGTGCTACCAACTTAGGCTGGCCGTGAGGGGAAGTGACAGGAAGGAACAGGGACCCAGAAGGCAGCGTAGAAATAGTGATGTTTTTTCAGTGCTAATATTTCTTACTTTTCATATACAAAAAAGAAAAGTTTCCAGTTTTTTTCTCCTCCTTTTTCTGTTGAACGCTGAATCTTTGGCGTCTACTTTCAGGTGTGTACACTGCTTTTCAGCATGCTTTCTCTTTCTTCTTCTTCTTCGTTTCCCGGTGCCCGCTGATTCGTCGAAGTAGAGCCGAGCAGTGTAGCGCAGGGCAGAGTGGGAGAACGCCCCAGGTGCAGAGCAAGTGCAGATGCGCCGCCAGCAAGTGCAGATGCGCCACCAGCAAGTGCAGATGCGCCACCAGCAAGTGTAGATGCGCCGCCAGCAAGTGCAGATGCGCCGCCAGCAAGTGCAGATGCGCCACCAGCAAGTGTAGATGCGCCGCCAGCAAGTGCAGATGCGCCGCCAGCAAGTGTAGATGCGCCGCCAGCAAGTGTAGATGCGCCGCCAGCAAGTGCAGATGCGCCGCCAGCAAGTGTAGATGCGCCGCCAGCAAGTGCAGATGCGCCACCAGCAAGTGCAGATGCGCCGCCAGCACGTGCAGATGCGCCGCCAGCAAGTGCAGATGCGCCACCAGCAAGTGTAGATGCGCCGCCAGCAAGTGCAGATGCGCCGCCAGCAAGTGTAGATGCGCCGCCAGCAAGTGTAGATGCGCCGCCAGCAAGTGCAGATGCGCCGCCAGCAAGTGTAGATGCGCCGCCAGCAAGTGCAGATGCGCCACCAGCAAGCGCAGATGCGCCGCCAGCACGTGCAGATGCGCCGCCAGCAAGTGTAGATGCGCCGCCAGCAAGTGCAGATGCGCCGCCAGCAAGTGTAGATGCGCCGCCAGGAACCAATGGTGGCTATCGCCCACAAAGCTCATGGATACCCCTCTCGTGTAACACGCCTATCCACTCCGATGGGGGAGGGCGAGCACCGGTAGAAGACCCACCTGGGGAGGAGGGGGGAGAGAGGATGGCATGGGGGGAGTGGGGAAGGTGGGAAGGGTGATTGAGGCGCCTCAAAAGACGATTTTCGGGGCGGCCCATAAGATAACACCATCCACACCCACGCGGCCATACACACTGCCCATCAACACCCATCTGCACCCATCTAGACAAGACCCAGCTTCACTGATCGACACCCATCCCCGCGCACATACCTGAGTGACCCAACTGCTTTCACCACCCCTGGCAGTGACGTCCCCACACACGGGGAATCCAGCCAATCCTCTGCCGCCTCCTGCTCCTCATCCTGCCTCTTGCCTGCTGCTTCTACATGAGTGGCGGCTGTGGTGGTGCTACCGCTGTTACCCTTGCTGCTGCCTGCCGCCGCTGCTGCTGCTCCTGCTGGTGTCAATGCTGCTGCTGATACCAGGACTGCTGGTGTCAATGCTGCTGCTGATACCAGGACTGCTGGTGTCAATGCTGCTGCTGATACCAGGACTGCTGGTGTCAATGCTGCTGCTGATACCAGGACTGCTGGTGTCAATGCTGCTGCTGATACCAGGACTGCTGGTGTCAATGCTGCTGCTGATACCAGGACTGCTGGTGTCAATGCTGCTGCTGATACCAGGACTGCTGGTGTCAATGCTGCTGCTGATACCAGGACTGCTGGTGTCAATGCTGCTGCTGATACCAGGACTGCTGGTGTCAATGCTGCTGCTGATACCAGGACTGCTGGTGTCAATGCTGCTGCTGATACCAGGACTGCTGGTGTCAATGCTGCTGCTGATACCAGGACTGCTGGTGTCAATGCTGCTGCTGATACCAGGACTGCTGGTGTCAATGCTGCTGCTGATACCAGGACTGCTGGTGTCAATGCTGCTGCTGATACCAGGACTGCTGGTGTCAATGCTGCTGCTGATACCAGGACTGCTGGTGTCAATGCTGCTGCTGATACCAGGACTGCTGGTGTCAATGCTGCTGCTGATACCAGGACTGCTGGTGTCAATGCTGCTGTTGATACCAGGACTGCTGGTGTCAATGCTGCTGCTGATACCAGGACTGCTGGTGTCAATGCTGCTGCTGATACCAGGAATGCTGGTGTCAATGCTGCTGCTGATACCAGGACTGCTGGTGTCAATGCTGCTGCTGATACCAGGACTGCTGGCTCTCGCCAAAGCTTCACCACGTGGCGTGATTGTGATTGGCCAGGAGGCGAGGCTGTGCTGGTGCATGCGGTTGTGGTGCGCAAGGGCTGCGGAAAAATTGAGATTGGCGCACCCCACGTGCAGCGTCGCCCTGCAAGGAGGAACAGAGCAGCAGGGGGAAGGGTGTGGTGTGGGGGGATGCGGGTGGCATGGGGAAGGCGAGAGTCAGAGCGAGGGAGGGAGCAACTGGGTGCGCACTCCACATGCAGCGTCGCCCTGCAAGGAGGAGCAGAGAGGGGCATGGGGGGCCCGTAGGGTATGAGAGGGCAAGGTGAAGGAGGGAGCGGCTGGAACGAAGGTGGAGGGGGAGGTGAGGTTGCCGCACCCCACGTGTCCCGAAGGTGACCCTGGGTCGGGCTAGGGTTATGTTGAAGGGATGAGCAAAGAACCGAACAGGTTTTGATTTTTAGCTTAAATTGTTCACCCGAACGTGTTCGAGGTTTGCCCGAACACGTTCGTGTTCGTGGCGCTGCTGCAGAACGCCCCGTGTCGAACACGAACGTGTTCGAGGTTCACCTGAACACGCCTTCACAGGGGAACGGCGAACACCCTTGTTCGGTTCGCCGAGCGGCCATGTTCGTGCAAGGGCGAACGTGAACATGTTCGCGTTCGCCCTTTGCTCAACGGTCCATTGAAGTCGTCCCTTTTTGGCATTTTCTTGGCACTTAGCAGGGTAGAACATACAGATTAGTACTACTGTCTTTATTTTGCTAAAAGTGACTTCCCGACTGCAGCTCACCCAGTCCACATGGCTGTCGGGCTAGGGTTAGGTTGAAGTCGTCCTTTTTTGGAGATGAACAACCAATGAGACAAAACCAGAATTTTCGCGAACAGCAGCATCTCCTTATAAAATGAAACTCATCCAATCAACTCCTTCCCCCCCCCCCACCCAAAATTGCATGCCAACTGAAACAGTGTATTTTTTATAAATTTCTCGACGCGCCCATGAAAATGGCAACTTTTGATAGAGAAACTTGTGATTCAAAACCTACCCCTTCTACCTACCCATCTGTTTTTGCGATGCAAGAGGAGCAAAGCAAAGGGGTTGGGAGGGATTCAAAGGTGGTGCCAAGGATTGGCAGGGATAAGGATGTGGTGCGAAGGAGGAGACAACAGAAGAGCAGATTGGTGAGGCGTACAATACAATCAACTACCTCACATTAAGGCGCCTCGAGATTAGACTCACCAGTGATTGCTGAAGTCCCACACACACGTGGTACGACACTCTAAACTACGTGCAGTGCAGAGGGTCTAGACACCTAATGTCCCCGTGAGCTAGCGCAGCGCCTCTTGAAGTCAGAGCTAAGTCGCGCTTCCACCAGCTCTCCTTGACCGCCTTCCCCAGCAACTGCTCCCAGACGCGGAAGGAGCAGCGCTGCCCGCGCTGACACGTGGCGCAACCTGAGCCGTGGATCACCACTTTCGCGGGGGACGGGAATGCATAGTCTGCGCAGGCAGATGCAGATGTGAAGGGAGGGAGGGTGAACACGCGGTTGCGTAAGGGGATTTAAACAGGAGGGTCGCATTGCATGAGAGAATGTTTTGGGGCGCGTTGACATTAGTCACGTCACATCACGTCAATGAGAAGGGAGGGGGCAGGGGGAAACGCGATGAGCGGAAACAGGATGGCGAGGTGCACGGGCGACTCGTCCAGTCCAGCATACTCGCTGTCGATCTTCGAGGCGTCTTGCAACTCGGATTTCACATGCAATTGGACGTCACCTATTCTTGAGGCGGCTCAGATATTTCAGGCCGCGCATTGTAAAACACAACCAACTCATATTTCGCATACTAATTTCTGGAATCTCACCTCCTGACGACGTCCAGCATACTCTTCGTCGTCTGGGCTGCGCTACGCTGCCATCGGAAACGCTGGAAGCAGCGCGAATGGCAGTAGCGCCATTACTAACGGCAGCGCCATTACTAACGGCGGCGCCATTACTAACGGCGGCGCCATCAGTAACAGCGGGAGATAAGTTATCTCCTGTTGCGTTTGTTTTGTAGGCGACAAGCAGCGGCTTTCGCAGCTGCAGGGGGAAAAGAGGGCCCCATTTTAAGCGCCACCTTCCGCTCGCTCCCCCTGCTGCCGCCAATCCCACCGCGCTCATGCTTCCCGCTCCCGCATCGGATCCGCCAGTCACCCATGGGGGTAACGATTCAGCTATAACGAGTACGAGGAGACATAGGATCATGACGGAAACGAGCACGTAGTGAGCCCCATCCATATAAGGCCCCAACTGAGGACTCCTCTCCTCGTCTATAAAACCTCCCGTTTTGAATCCTAAAGTCGTCAACATGTGCGAAAACGCACGAGAGACGCGCGACAGGGGAGACGCTGACGACGTTGATGGCAGCACGGGAAGTGCATCATGCGACGATCGCGAACTGAGCTGCGAAGCTTGCGACACAGAGTCCACAATCGCAGTGCGTTTTTCAAGGTCGATCGACTCGGAGTGATATCCCTGTCCATTCGACCTACCGATGATGCCTGCCAGGCGCCTGATGTGAAGCGAGAAAGAATAGCGCCTCGCGAATAACTTAATGGTTCGGGCTTAGATCCGACAATCTTCTGAAACACTTGACGAGTAAAGCTTTATCCGAAGCTGTTTTGTCGCCATCCTTTGCGAAGCTCAATAACAGCCTGTCCCCGAGCTAGATTCGCGGAACAGGCAAGGGACGTCTGTGTAACTAATAAGGGCGTGTCCCATGAGTTCATTTGGGGAGAAAATCATATTTTTTACGTAACTTCGACCAAGCAAAAGAGTGTACACTCAGACGTGAAAAACACGCAGCGCGTCAGCACAGCGCCAAACGAAATTGACCCACGCGGACTCATAGCCCCACCCACACAAAAATCGTCATCCGAACATGGGCCGCGAGCGGTAACCCGCCACAGTGCGAATCAACTGCGCCCCTTGCGAAACTTAGTTTTTTCTTCACGCGACTGAATGTGCGCGAAGTCTCCGATTGGGGTAACGGAATGGAGGACCTGGTACGAAGTGATCTCACGTACCTTGTACGTGGGATAGTACGGACATCTTGACGTCCTAGGCGTGTCATCCGGTGCGTCACTGAAGACGCATGTCATGCAGGGAAGGGTTACAGACGGGAAACAGAGTTACAACACTGAACTTGAACTGTAAACGATTTCGTGGGACACGCCCTAAGTGGGAAAAGTATGTCCATTCCTAGTACACTGGATGTTGGGACTAGGAATGGACATACTTTTCTGTGGTGGGCTAAATTCGAAAGGTTCATCCTGGTGCGCAAAGGTCTGAAGCGGTGACAACCTAAGGCGATTGACAGAATTGACCGCGTCAAATGGCCCTAGAACCGCCCTACATAAATTCTGGTACACCTCTCCCCCGCTAATTTCAACACCTGGGCCCGAATCGCGTCTTTGTCGTTCAGCCCTCCTGTTGAAACTGTTGGGGAACAGAAAAGTTCACATAGTCAGCGCGATTTCACTCGGTTTCGTACCTTTCAGAACCGTATACAGACTTTCTACTCGGTCCTGAGCTTTATAAAGAGGTTTTGAGGTCCAAACCGCGCTCGACGCAGGACCACAGGTCGAGACAAAGGTGTTGAAATTGCCCGGGATTGAAATAAATGCGGGACAGGTGTAGCATTTATCGAGTTAACGGAATCGTACCCTTTCACAAGTTGCTTCGATTGCGGGATAACAGTCAAGAAGGCGGTGCACGACTGCCACCAATCCTACACTACTGTTAGAACACCAGTCACCTCTGCCGTGAAAAAAGAAAAAAGAAAAAAAAAAGTTGAACCCCTACTATGCTCCGTGCGCAATGCAGCAATGCACAAGAGAAACCCGCCAGATCTACATGGCTTAGCCCATCAAGAATCTCAGGACCCTTGAGGCAATGTTTCTTAGAAATAGCTAGTAAGAGGTGTGAGAGAATTGGTGAAGTGGGTCAAAGCAAGGAGATACCAAAAGTGGTAACCTAGGAATGGTTGTACCCTGTGGCCTACAATAACTAACGATATCTAAACGATATAAAAATTTGACACACCCCCATAGACTAAGTGAGGTGCATCAAAGCAACCAAAAGAAACAAATGGTCACAAGACCAGTCAAGAGAAGCGACAAGTCAACGCTCAGGGTGGATCTCAAGATCACCACACAGTCCGACACAAGCAAACAGCCACAAAGTCGGTTCAAGAGTTAACAAATATACATGGATGCAAGGACAAGCAGAACAAGCAGCAAGAAGCAAGTCTAAAGTAATCGAACACCAGCGCCAACAAAGCCAAACTACAGACTGAACATGTGGTGCCCACTAGGTGCAAGTGCCTTGGTGAAGATGTTGGTTGTGTTGGCTGTGGAGGCCACGAAGTCCAAGCGAGCCTGGTCGTGCCGCTATAACTCTCGCAGGATAAAATACCTCACGTCTATGTCCTTCACTCTGCCCTTCAGTCGAGGCTCTCGACAAAGGAGGATCACGGCCTTGTTGTCAATGAACAAGGTCGGTGCAGAGCGAGGCCGCTTATTAAGGTCAGTGCGCGAGAAATTCAACCAACGAAGCTCCTGCGCAGCCATGGCACCAGCGCAGATCTCTGCCTATGCGCTGGACTGTGCCACAGACGATGACCGGGTAGACCTCCACGATACAGCTCCAGCACCCAAACTGAAACAGTACCCCTGAGTAGACCGCTGGGTCTCCACGTCGTCGCCGTAGGAAGAGTCGCAGTGACCGGTCAGTACAATTGGTTGTGTCCCTCCAAGCACAAGCCCCACGCCTGATGTAGTCGCCAGGTACTTTGCCACCCTCACAGTAGCCGTCCAGTGGACAGGAAGGTGTCTCCCAGTCGCAACAAAACGAGAAAGAACGCTGCGGGGAAAGGCGAGGTCCGGACGAGTACAAGTCATCAGGTACATGAGGCGGCCTACAAGCTCTGCGTAGGGACCACTAGACTCAAAGGGCTCATCAGGAAAAGGGCCGGTGAGTCTGTGGTTGATAGCAAGAGGAGTGGCCTCTGTGGTGGAGAACTGAAGCCCGAACCGTTGAAAGACTTGCTGCACCGTGTGTGACTGTGAGAGTGTAATGGTGCAAACGGCTCTGTCCCTAATGATCTTCAAGCCAAGGTAGCGACACAGTTCACCAAGGCCAGTGCATGCATGTCTCTTTTACAGTTCGGACTTCACCTCAGCCAGAGCAACCCTTTTCGCTGTAGCGAAGACCAAGTCGTCGACGTAGATAAGGACAAAGAAATGAGTGGAGCCCCTGCGAACAAACAGCCACGAGTTGGCGGATGAAGGGCGGAAACCGAGGTCAGCCAGAGTGATGCGTAGTGTGTCGTGCCACTCATGGGGCGCCTGACGAAGACGATAGACTGGTCGCCTTAGGCTCCACTGGGTCTCAGAAAGGAAAGTTTCAGTCAAGCCAGGAATACAGTGCAACAAGATCTCCTTGTGTAGGCGGCCCTGGAGAAAGGCAGTGGAGAAGTTGAGGGAGTGCAGCTCGTACTCTCACTATGCTGCTGCGTTAAGTAACAGCCGAAGAGTAGTCATCTTCGGGGTTGGGGCAAAGTTCTAAAAGAAGTCAACTCCATCACGCTGATTGAAGCCCCTAGCTATGTAGCGCGCCTTGAAGACGGGTGGTGATCCAGGCGGCCACTTCACCTTGAAGATCCACATGCCGTCGACGACATAGTGCATGTGGATTTCCAAGCCGCCATCTCTGAGTCCATGGCCGCTTTCCACTGAGAGGCCCACTACCCTTACACTACCTCACGGTGCGTGCGAGGAGTCGGAATGTCAAGGGTGTCGGGGTCTCCCTCAGGGAAAAGCATCATGGCACAGAAAGAGGGGGAAGCGGCTGCCAAGAATTCCAGCTCAAACTTTCTGTCTGATGTCACAGCCAAGAGCAAACTCACCCCCAGCGGACAGAGGACGGGTAGGAGGTCATCAAATGGAGATGAGGGACGAGCACGAGGAGGACAGCGAGTGGTCCAGCCGTGCGGGACAACAGGAGGAGGCGACTGTGACTGGGGAGAAAAAAAAAACAGCCGGAGCTGAGTTCGGAGGAGGAAACGTATGATTGCACACAGTAGGGGACTGAAAACGGTGAGGAGGAGAGGAGGGAAGACCAAGGGTCCGAAGGCCACTCACTGGTGGGAACAACTGCGGCTAAAGGGGCCGCTGCTGCTGCTGCGCCTGCTGCACTTGCTGCTGCAGCTCGTGCATCTCCTGCACCAACCTCTCCTGCTCCTGGCGAGCACACCGACAAGCAGCCTGGTAACGTGTGTCGTAAACGGTGGGGAGGCAAAGAAGGCGTCGAAGTAGGAGTGGCTCCAGCTCCAACCCCTTTACAGCTAGCACCTCCAGTGCCAGCTGTCAAACTATAATTCTACTGTTTGTGTAGTTCTAGTCTAGGTGTTCTCCCTTGTGTTATTTTGTACTTGCACTAGGGTTAGGTTTTGCATACATCTTGTTTGTACTTTCTGTTTTAGTCAATTTTACATTGTGACATGGTATAGAGCTAGGTTAACACTAGCGAGATTTTCCCCCTTCGCCCGTCGCCCGTTTCCCCCCGTCGATCGCGACCGTTTTCTCCTTTTTTTTCCCGTCGCCCGTCACCTGTCGCGGCTGTTAGTTAACGGGCCCTGCGGCCTTTCGTTAGCGGGCCCCGCGGCCTTTCGTTAGCGGGCCCCGCGGCCCTTCGTTCGTGGGCCCAGAGGCCCCTTCGCTAGCGGGCCCCGCGGCCCCGTCGTTAGTCGCACGCACGCACAGCAGCAGCCGCGCACACTAGCGACCCGTCGTCCCACCCGTTTCCCACCGTCGTAACCGCTGCCCCACCCGTTAGACGCGGCCCCACCCGCTGCCTTACCCGCCGCTCACCCTGTTAGTCGTCGCCTCACCCGCGATCTGCCGCCCCACGAGCAGAAAACCGCCGCCACACCAGAAATCGGCCGCCCCAGGACCTGAAAACCGCCGCCCCATACCTGGAAACTGCCACCCCACCTAGAAACCTGCTGCCCCACCCGTTCCAGTCACCTCACCCGGAATCAGCCGCCCCACCCAGTACTCTCCACTACACAAAACCGCACAGAACCATGCAAAATCGCGCAGAATCGCACAGAACCGTGCAAAATTGCGCAGAACCGCACAGAACCGTACAGAACCGCACAGATTCGCCGCCTTACCTTCCCCACCCGTCGCCCGCTGCCTTAACAGCCGCCCCACCTGACACCCGCCTCCCGACGAGCTGCCACACCCGCAGCCAGTAGCACCAGCAGATTACACTTCCGCCAGTAGCACCAGCAGCCTAGACTACCG